TATGGAGTGAAAGAAACAACAAACCATTCCGATTACTCAATTTTTATCTTGTTCCTTCTAAAAAGCTCTCATTTCTGCCTATTCTCTATTAAAAGCTCTCGTCTAATTACAAACCTCATACGGCAAGCTTTATTGATCGAAAACGAGCTCTGATATTGAGGCTCCGAATCGGTTTTAGGTTTAGGAAACTGGATCTGTTGGTAGATATACGAGATTCACTTAAAATACATGAATATTTTTCGGAGGAGCAAGCATGGGAATCAAGCTCCTTTTTTTACCAATGATACCTCCACCTTTCATAATGCTTGCATCAAATAAAGCGAGATGAAGCATTCTTTCTTTTGCATTATCACAGAGTTCCGATGAGCAAATTTTTATAGACGGTGTGGCATTTTTGCAATGCCCATGTCATTCTGACTTGTCAGAAGTTTGCAAAAGCCATCTTTCATCTCATTGTCAAGTACAACTTTACCCAGACAAATGTTCCATTAGCATAAGGAACAGGTGGCAAAGAAGACCAGGCTGACCAAAGTACGTACGAGCAAGTGAAGCTGTACCTTGCCCTTCTGGTTGATTGAATACTGCAGATTAGGCTACAACCTGCTCGTTCATAGCATACATTGAGTAGTGGGTTCCTCTCACTCAAAACCTCACCTTAAACTGCTCTTCAGGACTTTCCCGGTACCTACTACTTAATGTATGTTAGATACCGAGAAAGGTCTCAAGACCAGTTCAGAGGTGAGGGCTATTGAATGGGAGAAATGCTGGGAAAAATGATCACGGCAATACCTGAAGGTACGATATGGGATGGGCACTGCACGAGCCTCCAAAACGACCACAACGTCTACAAAATTGCATCAGTCAGAATTGTGATTGATCGGAAAGAAGAATAGCCTCAGTGTTGAGGCTGATATGTAGGGGTAATGGAAAATTAGGTTGTCTGTGAGCTTGGAACTGTTGGAGACCCTAATTTGAGACTGTCTGCTTACTTTGTAAAATGACCTAGCAGTAAGATCGTAGTTCATTGCTAGGAACTATTTTCTGTGTTGACAGATCAAACACCAACACTGGATTGTTTATTTGGAGCGTTCATTGATACTATTAGGTGGGACAAGTGGAAACTACAATAGATATTGCCGATGAAATTAGCGTAACAGTACAAGTTTACGAATTCGAAGAGTCTTATTTAAGAGGTGGACCAGGAAGTCGTCCAAGTTCTCGTATGTATTTGATGCGGAATCGTTTTTGCATTTGAAGTGGCATATCGTCTTCGTATGGAATGTCGGAGCCGTCATTGAACTGGAACTTCAACAAGTAATATCATTCAGGTACGACTTTATTTATTTTTTATTTTTTACAAAAGGTAGGTAGTCAAAAAGAAGAACCCGTGGAAACAACGATGAAGAGATTGGGTGTAGACCATCCCATTTCAACAAGTTCCACAAAGCTTGCTTCCCTTAGAAGCTGGAAGGGATCTTGAAAGCTATAAGGGAATGAATATTGATCTGCAATTTGGATATTTTACATTTATAAGTGCTGGTTTCGGGTTTAAGTTTGATCGGGCCACGCAGTGTGTGCTCGGTAGAGACTAGTTTTTGGATGTGGTTGGTCCTAAAATTCCCGATAAAAATCGCTAGACAATCTCATTAGACTACGCCATGTACTCGTTCTAAGCCTGGTACTGGCCGACCTTGCGTTGAGCAACTCCAACGGCTGTCAGATGCCCACCTTTCCCCGAAGCAGAACAGTTCTAGTGAGCAGCGGAGTATTACGTGGTTTCAAAGGTTATCTGCTGGCTTCAACCTATTGCAGTGGAATCTGTTCCTTAGTCAGAGCGTGGTGGCTACTGACAATGGCAGTTGGCTCATATAACATCGAACCGCACCAGTTTTATTTTCTCAAAAATAGTTCGAGAAAAAAGTCATTCTTTGGAGTAGAAGCAAAATTGAACTTCTTGGTCAGACAGTGGAAACGTTGAGAATAGATTCAAGCGAATTGCATTACTTAATAGGATATCCTCAGTATTCCCTACAAATTTTTCTCAAATGGCTTAGCTGTGAGCAATAATCCGTCACCGTGGTTCTTCCATGTCTTGGACTGGGAATTCGGCGAACATCCTGCGTCTTCTTGACTTAAGGAAACGACCTAACTGTTTTCATTGAGAGAATCCCTCTTACAATCCCCCTTTTCTGTTGTTTTCTTCTTTTACTTCTATTTGTTGAGTTCCTATTCACTTTCTTCAAGAATTAATCTACAGCTTTCTCAATTTCTGCTTCTGCGTTATATGGCCCATCCTCGAGTGCATATACCGAGTAGAAAATACGATGATAAGTACGATGTTAAAATGTGGCTACCGTTGCAAACTCCTTTATAGAAAAGCTTTTCAATAAAAAGCATGAAATTTACCCCATTTCACACGGACTAGGTTTTGTAGAAGTTTGCGTGGCAACAGAATTATGCTGAGATTGTGACTAGAGTTCTTAGAGGCGTCGTACACGGTAAAAGTGGCTCCGGAGGTATCTCCCTAGGATGATCCTGTGGTCTCGAATGAGGGTGCAAGAGACGCCGTCAGATCGAAGGTAAGGCCTTTCGAGAAGCGGCCAAACCGACGTGGACTAGTTCTTAGGCGTTGTAAAGCCTGTAAAGGTTGCACCATTCGCACCAGGATGCACATGCTGTGCGCGGGCAGCTTACTGTAGCCAGATCTCTGGCACACATATTTGAACAACTCGTCCGGAGACCTCTTCCAACTTCTGCCGTGACTTTCTCTCCATTTCCTTATTTTTCTACTTTTTTGGCCCCAATATTTCTCTAAAACCGCTTTAACCGTTGTCTTCGCCGTTTTTATACTACTCTGGGCTACACTTCCATTATCGTCCAAAGCTAGATACCCAAAATTATCGGGAACTGTGCCTTTGAGTTTGATGCTTATCCCCCTTTTATTTTTCCTCTGTCAGGGTAAGCGCAACCACTACTGAAGAGACCGAAAAGGCGTTAGTACACCCCATGGACGATGCAGAATGCCTTCATAAATTACAAAGTTCCTCTCTTAGAGAAACCTAATTTACTTTTTTGGGAGCTATCTACTTAGTGATTCGTTACTCGCTAGTTCTTAATGAATCAGTAATTAGTAGACGTAATTGTTAATGTATGCTTTCGTGATGTCCTGTTTGGTTATTTCTTGCAAAGGCGGGTGCACTTGAACGCTGTTCCAAAGTGCATTACCACTTTTGTGGGCCAGTCGATCATATCAGTGGATAAATACCTGGCCTGGCGAGCTTTGTCCCTAGGGACCGGCTCTCAAGAGCTGGGAAGGTGCTCAGATCTTTTTTAAGAAACCTCATATTGAAGAAGTTGATGGGATTCAGTTGAGCGTTTCACATGCTGTAAACTAACCTTTTGGGCGCCAGGCATATCGAACCAGTAGTGATGGCAGAGTGCGATGTTGGCGATCATAAGTAAGCATAAGATCCTGACGAACAGCGACATTCTAGAAAAGTATGAACGCTTTGGAGAGCAGTTCTCAGTTACGGAAAGGCGTTTGCGACAAGTTAAAAAGAACTGATTACGAGGAAATGGAAAATGAATAATTAGGAATGCTAGGAAAAGAAGAAAAGCAAAATGAGGCCACACTTTGACCGCAGGTGCTTATGCTAGCTTTCCTCATGGCTTCGGCCTACAGAAGACGTTAGCTCGCAAGTTTTCTAACGCTTTTAACTTGAGTACCTTGAAAGCCAGTAATTTTCCTAACCAATAAGTGACCTGAAAGCACTAAGCGAAAACATTCTAAGAGGATTTTAGCTTTCAAGATGAATAGAATAAGAAAGATCCCCTTGCATAACGCTGACGGTGACCTACAATTATCGGAATGGTCCTTTCAAATGGGAATAAGTCCTTCCGCTGCAGAGTGCAGAAAGTACACTGGCGTAAATTGAGTTCTGGCTACTACAGAAATGAGAAAAGCCAAGTTTCCTAGCCGCAAAAACTGTGAGTAGACTGCCGTGGGGAAGATATCGTAAGAGTACGGAATTCTTATACCTGGACGGTGGTCTAGCTGCTGTCAGTAAGGTGGATCAGGCTGCAGAGGGCCGGGTAAACGCGACATAGTTGAAATTGAAAGATCCAGCTTGTTCTCTACGATCGACGGTGCTTCGCCACTTCCAGAGGGAGCGCATACCGGACTGAGGATGGAAATAGCACCTGTTCAGCAAAAGATGAGAAAGCAGGATTGCGGTGATATGACTCGTGCCTAGACGGCTACAGGGTCCTTTTGGAGGAGAAACATGAAATTGAAACTCCGGGTATGCAACCGCGGAACCTCGAAAAAGAGATGTTCGGACATAATCAAGAAGATTTCTACAAACCCAAACGACAGAAGTTGTCATCAACGGAAGGAACTGGCGATATTTCGCGAGAACAGGGGACTCTGTGACTGATAGAGATTGATGCTAGGGGGCATAAAAAGAAAAAGAAGATATGATTGTAAATAAAATTACCGAGCATATGTAACTGCATTTCTGCGTTCTTATACTTTTCGTTGCAGAAAGAAGCTTTTGTGGGCTGCACTCATCGCTGGTAAACGAAATGTGACAGACTAAACAAATGACGGTCATGCTCATAAAGAGTGAAGTTTTGAGGCAATAATCAATCCGTCAAGGGGATTCGCCCACGCAGTCGACTCATTCAGAACCGTAGTGGCGTATTGAATGCGTATGAGGCCTA